CCCTTGTCACGGCCTTTCACTGGGCATATAACATCCGGGTCGTAACCAATGGAACTTATTCCACGACGCCGCCGCCTTTTTATCGTTCATTCAATTTCTCACTGAAGGAAATTCCAGGGATGCAGTAATTGAAGTGTCGACGCCAGATGAAACGTGCCAAGAAAGTTGAGTGCACGCTCTAAAGAGGCGGGGCCAGGAGAGGGCGAAGGGAAGTCATTATAGGTTCTTGACTATCGCCAAGGCTTGTGTGCTTTCAGGACGATTTCTTGGATTAGGCAACTGTGATTTTTTTTTAAATTTCCTAAAATTCGGTGTAGTGTTTGAAAAATTGCGTGGAACTTACGAGGGCCACAATTAAAGAAAAATATACCCACACAACTTTTGACACTCCATACTGGACAAAAATTGTAAAGATCAACATAGGCTGCTTCCGATGAGGTGAGGGCAATTATCTGATAAATTTTCATTTTGAATATTAAATACTGTACAATAAATGTTTACACTATATTATTTACACCCAGTGTTTACTTTGACATTCTGTTGTTTGTACATTTTGCATATTTTATGCCTGGAAGTTGAATAATCATACATTCTGTATGCATCATGTGAAATTCTTCTTAACAATTCTTCAGATTCAATTAGGAAGGAGATCCTCTCGAGCTTTGTATATGGATAATCCTTCTGTGACAGGCCAGGAAACCGGCGCACAGCCCAGAATGGTTCTAGTTAGTCTTAATCTAGGTTCTCAACAAAACACAATTGAGATAAAAGTCTCTAGGAATAATTTTGTAAGTTTTACGATGCTGGCTGCTTTTGCTACAATTTTCCATTGCTCAGATGAGCATCTGTAACTTGAAGAAGTGGTGTAGCCTAAGCCCTGTTATGCAAGCAATACGAAGCGATGCGAATGCCTGTAGCATAATCAACACATTTCAGCCAACAGCGAATTCCGACAAGTCACATAAATGACTGCCACCAAATCACATAATTTATTGAAGTTTAACTGCACGCCCTACATCACTCACATTTGGACAAAATATCTCATCCTTATGTGACATCACACATCTCTGGGGGACACGTTTCTACAATTTGAGAACACATTATAGCACAAGGCATTGCGTGCGAAGGCAAACATGTCTACTCGTTTTAAATGTCCCAATATTTATGGGGAATTCCGATTGTGAGTCAACTCAGTGGTTACTTCATTGTCAGTGCACTTTTCACAAACCCCACCGTTCCAGTGAATGGATTAGAGTTGAATGTAAATAATGTATTTGACCACCAGGTCCCCATGAGGAATCAAAAAACAAACTAAAGCTGAACCACAACTTGGGGCAAATGGAATTTACTCAACTCGTAACATTTAAATAGGGGGGCCTACTTGATACAGGAGGCAATAAGATTGAATGGCTTTTCTGTTTTAATTGCAATGGTGCTTGGAAGTGCACATTGTATTTCTGTTACGGATTAACGGATGGTCGTAACAGCAGTTGTTTACATTCAGACCATTGGAAACTCCATGTATAACCATCTAATGGAATTTGTTAAATCAGACGTCTTGTTCAGCGGCAAAATAAACCAAGTAGGAAGCAAGATCAGTAGTACTCTAGGACTTCATCAGACAAAATATTCGTATTATGAGAATTTGTACATTTTTAAAAAGAACCTTCATACATAGATCTTTTCAGAGAAGTTCCAAGAGCCGTGTCAGGGCATATTTAATGCATTCAATATCCATTATGTCTCTCTTTTTACATGCGCTTACAAGGCGCTCTGAAAATATCTATACATAGTGATTGCAAGAGTTCAGAGTGCAGAAGTAGACAAAAAGCACAAACGCATNTCAACTTTTGGTGATGCGGTACGCTTACTTTATACGGACACCGATTCTCTATTAGTTCAGATCGAGCAAAGCTCACACGATTTAACTGGTTACCTAAACGAAAAGCGTAATTTATTTGACTTTAGTAATTACCCGCCCGATCATCCGCTTTACAGCGTCAAAAATAAAAAAGTTATAGGCAAAATGAAAGACGAATTTGGTGGTAAAACAATTTTAGAAGCCGTTTGTATCAAGCGAGCGAGTGTAACGAGCGAGCTACGAAGCGAAGCGAGCGGAGCGAGCGAGCGAGAACGAGCGGCAGCGAGCTACGAGCGGAGCGAGTACTTTTCTTTGAAGAAGGCGAAAGGGGTTTCCAAGGTAGTAACCGAGAAACGCTTGACCCACGAGATGTATAAAAGCTGTCTATTTGACAAAACGCATTATTGCAATAAACAACAACTATTTAGATCGGATAAACATCGGGTGTTCACGATCTCTCAGCAGAAACTTAGTTTATCACCTTTAGATACAAAGCGCTACATATTGCCGAATGGAATCGATACGTTGGCTTATGGGCATAAGGACATAAACTACTCCGGTAATTCGGTGTCTTCGGGTACGATTTGAAGTTCCTCTTTGACGAAACTCCTATTCGGTCCGTTTAACAGATAATATAAAGTTGGCCCCGTTTTGACGCGTTTTCCTTTCACTCGTTTAAACTGACTAGTTCGCTTTTCAATTTGGTAAACGTCCACGGACCAGATAGGATCTGTTGCCCTTCTGACGGTACCTCCCTCTTGCTCGCCCGGGTAATAGAGGTATCTAACGACCGCGTCTGGAGGAAGTTCTCTTTGGGTAGTTCTTACAGGTGCACTGGGTTCTTGTTTTACTCGCTTTGATTTTATAGCTTCTGCAGGCACGGCATCGATTAACCGCGTTTTTTCCTCGTTTAACGATTTCACGACCTGTGACAAACGCTCTACCCATTCCACGTTACGCACACCCACGTTTAACATTTCTTGAGCGTATTGGTGGCCGAATAACCTTTCGGCTAAAGTGCGGTTAAACCTTTCTACGATTCCTTGAGATCTATGTACCCCAGGTTCACCCACTTGAATTTGTACTTTATTTTTTGCCATTAACTTTTTAAACTCGCCTTTGAATTCAGATCCCGAGTCCACCATTACGAATTTGGGCCAGGTCAGAGGTGATCGCTCGTAAATTTTTTTTATTGCCTCACTCACTTGCTCGGCGGTTTTACTGGTCAACGGTTCTGCTTCTCTATACCGCGAACCCACGTCACCACGGTCAAAGCGTACTTAAACGTTTTTCTTTTAACGCGGTCCCAGGGTAAATAAAGTATGTCCATCTGATGCGCGGAATTAGATTCGACCGATTCTGATTGCAACATTGTAGGTCTGGGTACGTAATGTGGTGCGGGTAAATATATTTGCCAAACGGCCTGCTTTTTTAGCCACTTCCTAATAACCGATTTGTCCGCACCGGTCTTTTCGTGTAGATGATCGACCGCACTTTCTCCTCGCCAGTAACCCTGTGGACTGTAAAATAGTTTTGAAAATTCTCTCTCCATTTTAAAAATACTAGTTTTTAAAGTTACGAGTACCGGTAAGCTAGTAACCCGACTATCGCAGTTCCACCTAAAATCCAAACCAACTCGCGAATCTTTTGGTCCTCGGAAGGCTCGTAAAAATCGGACAACTTAGGCTCTGGTGGTAACGGGGCAACGTTCTTACCGGTCAATTCAGAATAAGCCCGCAACGCTTCGTCTACGTTTACAAATGTTTGCTGACTCGCGCGTTCTTGTCGCATTCGTTCGTTTAAAAAGTCTAGCATGTGTACGCGTTTTTGTTCCCATTCTTCCTTCGCTTGCCCCAATTGCTCCAACGCGAGGTCGTGACG